TAACTGCTACATCTGCTTTCAGTGCCTCTGCTGTAATGTTGTCTGATCCCGGCGCTTTGCTGCTCTTGAGTTTTATCATTTACGATAACTCCCAGCGAGCTTCTTTTTTGTATCATACAATTGTCTCATGTTTCATTCCCTTGCAGATTTTTCCGCCGCCATCGCTAGACCTTCAACTTATTTACGCTTGTCGGCTCCGGTTCTCCTCTTTGCTTGCTTGTTTGCTTCAGTGTATTCAGATTGTGCCTTCACGTTCTACGCTCTTTTTCGTCTGTCGTTAATTGCTGTCTTCTTGTTCTTTCTATCTTGAATCTTGTGTACGGTTTCCATAGATATCTATTCTTCATAATGATGCTTCTTGTGGCTCAGAACCTCATGCCATGTTGAAGTGATTGCCTCCTTGATCCCTTTCCAGTTCTTCATCATGGTAGTTTTCTGTCCATTGAGTAGATGGTGAAAGGTATGTAACCTATTGCTGAGAACTATTCGGAATTCGTTGGGTCTGTCAGTATCCCGAAGAAAGTTCGTATTGAACTTTTGTGATGTCCGCTCCGTTGTCCAGTGCTTCTCGAGCTTCAATTTCATCTTGGCGACCAGTAGGTGATGAACTGAGGCTATATCAGCTCGTCTCTTGGTTCTGACGTCTCCCATCGTCTTCCTGAACTTTTTATTGATGCAGATATGGCCGATTCGGTTCTGTGTAGTGTGATTCAGTGAAGTCCATTTGGCTTTGTGCATGCGTTTATGTGAGAATACTGTTCCGCCTATGACCACTTTATTGAAGGCACATATGTTTGCAAATCTCTCACCATTTTCGTACCTTTCACCTAGTTCATGTCGTCCCATGATGTCTTCATATCCGGTTTTGCCCATTCCAACCTTAGCATTTAGGTCTTCCATTAAAATTTTCAAGTTTTTTGTTGGACATTTCTCAATGGTTGACTGCAGCCTGCAGTAGAATTTATCTTTAACGTCTTCATTGTAGTCATTGGTAAGCGCGTAGCATTGGATAAAATTCATTGTAATGCCCTTCCTATTTTCTTTCGAAAGAGTCCAAAAGAATCCAATCCTATAAGTCCTTTTTGTCCTTGTTTGGATAACATCAATGCCACTCCTTGTGTACGTGAGGCATTTTCTTCCTCATGGCCGGAGTATAACAGCAGCTCTCCTGAAGCTAGTAGTTGTTGCCAACTTGAGTCCAATGTGTTTCAATGATTCCAAGAACCTTCAGGTTGTATCTTTTCATTTCTGCAGCAACTTGGATGATTCACCTGGTCTCCCACATTGTACGAGCATTCCGTGTACCTAAATTAATGATCGCTTTAGTTGTCAGAAGAGGCATCAGCGTCGTGACTTCCGAAGGAACTCGACTTTCAACACGAAACATTACAACTCTTCTAAATGAAGACCTTTCAACTGCCATGGCAGAATTTTTTAGCTGGTTAGTTTTCTACGGGACGGGGTCACCAACCTCATGCCCAACTCTCCTCCTTCATCCGGGCTTGGAACCGGAGTTTTAAGAATGAAACAAATTGCTTTATCTGTTTGGAGTTATAGTAGGATATTTTTGAAAGCGTAAAATATTTTCGTAGACATAAACGTACTTGGATTTGCTTGGAAACTTAAATTAACATGAATCATATTTCTCCATGTTTCTTGAAATTACAATTATAAGAATTTCACAGGTTGAAATCATGAGTCAGTTGAAGCTAGACCACCATTGAAAACCTGGAAGCAGGACGAAACGGCCATCCAGTGCTTCCAGGTTTTCAATGGTGATCTAGCTTCAACTGACTCATGATTTCAACCTGTGAAATTTCTTAAATTCTCCACAAAACCCATTCTGATAATTATAAGAATACTGAGAATCACACAAACTAGAAACTTTTTATGAATAAACTATTTACTATTTATAATACAAAAATCAACAATCATTTTCTTATTATAAGTTGGGTTTAAAATTTCATTTATTGAAAGATGCATAAGTCAAGAGAATACGATTTATATTAGTAAATTGATTACAATTAATAATAATTTTATAAAATTTGATTATGCTTTTAATTAATTTTATAATGAAGAGAATATTTGCAAATGTTCATATATTCCTTTGTTCAATGATCAAGACATAGAAGTCAGTGAATCAGAAGTATGCACCTTCAACTATCGACTTGTTACGTGTAATAACTTAGTGGATTAGCAGAAAATAATGTCAAAATAAATTCTTGTGTGTTTAATGAAAAGAAGAATTATATCAAATTCTTTGTTAAATCTTAAAAAATCTGTTATCGAGAGAATAGTTTGATTATTGTTTAAATAACACTTTACTATAATCAAATAGAATGTTTAAAAAAATATATTAATCAATTTGTTCCCATTTGATCCATCTAGTTGAATATTATTGTTTAGTCTATTTTGTATTCGAGTCCTATTGAATTTTTTAAATCATTTGGATTATAATTATTTCATACTCTTGGGAAAAGTATTATATTATTGATCTTAAAACGTCTAGCAGTCATTTATTAAATTAAGGATGCTTTGCGAAGTTATTTAAACCTGTAATTTTCCCAGAGATCATGCGTATCATGCTTATAATTAACTGCAGATATTTTGTACAATTGCGAAAACCATATATATATATATATATATATATATATATATATATATATATATATATATATATATATATATATATATATATATATATAAACTCCATTCAACGTTAACTAATTAAATCCAGTCACTATTTATTCTGTTAGAGACATATATTAATTATTAATATCTGTTAACTTTAATTATCTGGAAAATTCACAAGTCAAATAAATACTTTCGTGGCGTTGAAGTATGTTAGTTTGATTGTGAACACTTCTCATTATTCTATGGATCATCATCACATCCACCGTCTAACAGAAGGTGATGTTTTGTATTTATTCCTCAACTACCAAGTCGATCTTCTATAATAATCTTCTCTGTCACTATTCACCTGTTTCTAACCTTTGCTCGCCTCTTTAAATTCGTCTACCGTATGGTATCTAACGAATCGATTACCGATTGATGCCATGTATCAGGACATGCTCCAACATGATACAAATTTCAGTGACTCAGGATTTACAATATTATCTAGATTAAATTAGGTCACTCATTTTTCTGTGTATAACATTTCATGAGAATATAATCTTTAATTTATGTTAGTATATATATTAAGGGGATAAATATTCACATTTCCTAAGGTATTGATTCTCTCAGCTAATTCATTTCATATTATAAATAATAATGGATTTACATTCCTATGCCTTTACGCTGTTCATCCTCCAGTTTATGATTCATGTCTAAGTCATCCTCCTCAATCTATTAGGTACAGAGAAGAAATTAAATATCATCAAACTGGAAAAGAAAAACATTGCTTTTACTGTTTTATCCAATGCAAGTGAATAAATCATTTGCTCATCTTTACTATTACAAATTTTGCTTACAACAGAATTGTTCAAACAGAATTTAGTCAACAAAATTAACTAATACCGGTGCAATAAATAAATAATTTAGCACTGAATTCTTTCAATGATATTTGCTCACATAAATCACCTATTTGCCAATAGTAACTTTACTGTAGGTAAAAAGGGTGTAAAATAAGCATGATTAAATTCCTTTCTCTTCCTATCTCTTATTCTCATGAAAATTATGTACCATGTAAATGTAATAAAAACTTCTACTTAAATTTATAATTCATTCCTAAGTAAATAGTTCAATAATCATTGAACATCTATCCATAGCTTTGGTTGGTGGTTTAGTTAATAATTCTGTAGTCAATTTGAACTTTACAGAGTAGGAGATATTATTAGCCATTACATGCATTCATCAGTTATATGTAATTGTACACATTCATTCCTCACATATTTTGTTTTACTAATTAATAAATTATTCAATAGTTCAAAGAAATTAAAGCGCTAACTTTTAATGTAGATGACCTTTATTGAAATAACTATAACGAATATACCATTGCATAATCAATTTTTTATGGTGCAACTTAAACATGACTACTGCCATAAATTAGTAGTATATAAAATGTTCAATAATAAAGTTATGATTTTATAGCTCATGTACTTGAAAAATATGAGATTAAAGAAACAATATATTCATCTGACTTGATGTTATAATGGGAAAAATGGGAAGATATGTATGTGAAATTTAGGTCAATAAATAAACTTATACATTCCTGAGATATTCAATTGGAAAGTATGTAACCCTACCTTAATTTAGTATGACAATAGTCAACAATTCATTTAAATTTCATTTTGTCAATAATCATTCTGCCACAGAATTATGGCACATCAACAGATCGTCGCACGAACGCTCTACAAGACTTAATCAAGTACTTTTTTAGGGACTTCGGTTATTTGCTAAGTTTTGTTTTCAATACGTGTTCACCTACATTTCAAGAATCATCATAAATTAAAAAGCATAGGATGTCGTCTTGCTTTTGAAACTCCAAGTAGTTCGTTTGGCTTGTGTGATACACTGAATAAAACTCATCATCTCTCCCCAAGTCATATAATGTCGGTGATACCTTAGGAAAAACAAGCCAAAAATCAGTAAATTTCATTTCTAAATTCAGACAATTTCAAATACCTTCTGTTCATAGTAACACGTCATATCCTAAAGGAACTGGATCTTACTAAACCGGCCCACTTCATACACACAGATTCATAATATCACTAACATTCAAGATTCTATATAATTCTCTCATACTGAAAATTATCCATAACTCATTGGCGAGTAATTTCCAGAAAGTAACGCCGAAATCCTAGTGAGAATCTGTGACTGGTGAAATTTAAAATTAAAACCCAACCACTTAACAAATGTGACAACTGTTTCTTGGTTTTCAATACATACTGTTAGATCAAAAACACAATTCAGTTCACTTGCTTGATACATATGTATATAAATTTATAACTTGTCTACCGTTTCTTATATTCCTTTTTTTCTTTTCTATTATTCATCGACAGTTTCTATCAAGGTTATCAATTGAGTATGAGTGATTTGAAAAAAGCTACAACCGCTTCAAAACAAACAGCAGGTTGCTTATTTACAAATTTTGAAGATGTTAGGGTAAGTCAACTTTAATTCTTAAATTCATTTTTGTTTAAAGAAAAACAGAATAAACATTCTGATTTCATGAAATTTAATATTAATTTCAATTAGTTTACACCTGATTTTGTACAATATTGCTATGCGAAAAATTCAGTTTTGCTTTTATCTTGTTTCGCATATTATGTACAATTACAATTGATTGATCATTGAGTATTGTTAAATTGCTTGAAACCTAGGTCCAGGATACCCTGTTGACTACTTCCAACCACCACTTTAATGTACATCTGTTTGATTAAAACAATATGTATTGGAAATGACCCCAGTATAACTACTACTACTTACTGTGTCTCTATGTAGGTATTTGATGTTCATAAGACAAAATGACAATCATAATTCGGATAGCGTTTTTTTAATATAGGAATCATTGAAAAAAATAATAATTGGTTATTAGATCAGTGATCATTATAATGTAGCAAAACATAAATCGTGAGTTTTTTCAACATCATCTATGTTGTTTGTAAAGTTGGATGATGTTTAGAAGTGGAATCCAGAAACCTCATTTTATTCTATTTGAGACTTGTTACCTGGATGTGTCTAGACCTTAGTGTGATGTTCACTCCAAGAATTGAACTCACTAGTTTTCATATCAAACTCTCAGTGTATTATTCACTGAGCTACTAAGTATAGGTAGCACCTGCCTTGTGCAAAGTGGATGGATTGCATTTACGATACTTTAAATATATGTAACAATATTGAGACGATTCACTTGCAACGAGCATATGCCGAAAGAAACTGATCAGTTGCATTCTTTAACATATCGAGCAGAATAAACAAGCAATTACATACTGAATATGTTGGTTCGATATTAATAGGGTGGAGTGATTGTATCTGTTGAACAAGAAATTTATTCGCGTAGTCAACGGAGAGTAAGTAAATGTAAACCAAATAGGTTTCCGGAAAATTATAGCTCCTTTACTTGTATTGAGTACTTAGCCAACCATATATGGCTATATATATATTTCTAATATTAAATCGGTAAACACATTGAATTAAATATTAGTCACAAAATAATTATCCCCAACCGCTGTTTGTTAAGAATGGCTTCATAGAACATCTATTTCAATAGAAAGTTGTCTTTTTGACAGATGTCAAACCATAACAAAATGTTTATAAAGGAACAACTCTATCTTACCCCTTTTGTCAATCTGAATCATTGAGTTAGGAAAAAAATTTATTATCTATTCATTATTTTCAAAATGTTAACATTCTCACTCAGCTAGTTCTCTAGTGTAAACCACTTCGTCAGTCACATAAATCACAGATTCTTACTAGAAAATAGAGGAGTTTATCATGAACCTGTTAATTCAGTAAAGCAAATGATTATTCATAAGTGTTATAACGTAAAAGTTTTGAAATACTGTAAAGTTCTAAACAATGATGAAATCTATGTTTTCACATACTATTGTAAGTTTGTAATGGAAATTGCCTTTTAAATGTATTAAACAGTAAATAAATTCATTAATTTATCGACAACCTTAAATATTAATTAAACGTTAATAATAATAGTACAACATTTCCTATATATTGTCTACAAATGATAAAAAAAACTATATCAAATGCCCGATTATCCAAACTTAAAATGTATGAAGTTCATCTGATTCGCCTTTTATTAATAATTTCTTATAATATCTCGGGGTTACATTTGCAATTCTATATCTTGAACATGTTACTTTAATGCATTCTTTTATCAAGTTCCCTAAGAATCACATAAAATATTGTATACTATTAGCATTCGTTTATTAAATTGTTGACATTTTCCAAATTTATTTATTATTAGATATATATACTTCATTCAAATTACAACTTGATGTCAGATACAAACTAAGCTAACAAGATTATAGAACGTTTAAATCATTGGTGCATTACCATAGAAATGTACTTACGTATACAATAAGTTTTTACTCTAAAACTAAAATTATCTTTATTCTTTTGTGTGTTTGATTGTTTTTCCCTAACAAATTCTCATTTTATTTCTGTTGGATCATCAATTATTTTTATATTTAATTTGCTAACTTTTTGTGTTTTTTTCTTTTTCTATTTAAAACAAAATCAATTCGATTAGTGATTTATCGAAATGATTCAAACCATAACAATTAGCGGTTCATAAACGGACATTATTAAATTCAGTACATTACATTAAGTAAAATAATTAAGAAATATTTAGTCTCTATTCTTTTTTTCTACTTCAAATAAGAACAGAGGATGAAGGTAACGAATTTGTATGGAGATTAAATTTCTTTATTTTAAATTTAATTTCCTAAATGACTATCATTTTTAACTTTGAAATATACCCATATATAACTTTACCTATGTGCATATGTGTAGTTAGAAAATAGTTGTGTTTTGAAATTCTAGTTGACGATTAAACATGCTGACCATATGTTGAATGTTAGATCATTATCAAATACTTTTTGTACGTTTCCAGTATAAAAAAAAGTATTTATGTGGATAATAATAATAACACTATTTATTTTGGTACAAGATAATTAATTCTGTAAGTGAAAATTTGATTCCAGTAAAAAAATGTTTACGGAAAATCAAAATGAAATCGCAAATTGAACGGGGATCAGTGAAGTTCAACTATGTTAGATGAAAGATAGTTATCTACTGCAGGTAATAGACTAGGGTTGAACGATATTGCTTGTTGGTTGAAGTTTTACAATAACACCACTGTATCATGGCTCAGGGGTACAAAGGTTGAACATTCGCGCATGAGACTCGACGATTTCTGTTGGATCCCCGGATTTAGGGTTGTGGGTGTGCACTCCTTGTTCAGTGAGGAAGAAACATTCAAACTCGATATCATTTCATCAATTATAGGAGTAGTACTGATATTATTCTTGAATTCAGTACAGCTTTTGATTTAATAATTAACATATGAATTGTTATTTATCCATCATTTAAGTTCTTAAATTTATGAAAAAATTCCTAAATTTTAAAAACGAGATCGATTCAGAGATAATTTTCGTCACGAAATGAACTCAGCTAGAAAAAATTCAAATATGTTTTATATTATTCTACTTGATTTAACAAGTCATATAACAAAGACGAAGCATTAAATTGTAAAGATGTATCCCTATCATCAGGTAACAATTCCTCAGCGTCGTAGTTATCACACGGGGTTAAATAGCTAGCATCATCATTATGTATCCTTAGATTTTACTATATGAATATGTTTGTTTTTACTTACGATAGCTGACTGAGATTATATGCGATTGTTTTATATGTGTTTAAGTAAGTTATGCATTCATCAATTGAGAGATTGAATACATTTTCGTAAATTTCTATAGCATCTCTCTCTCAATGGTCAATATGTCTTCACTAACCAGAATCTTTCGGTTCAGTCAATGAATTCTTAACACAAGAGCATAATTTTCATTGATAACTTTTTTCTTAGTATTAATTTTCACACAATTTACTTTTCTCATCCGGCAATTTGTGATGCGCTACAGTGGTGTGTTCGTATAAGAAATATGTCAATAGCATTAAGTGACAGAAATGTAATTTACAGTAAAAATCGCACTCATATATATAATACTGACGCATTATATAAGGATAAAAATGCCCGACAATACTGATGTCGCACTTTTATCACACATTGAAAACAGAATGATTATCCTCATACATCAGTAGAAATACCTCCCAAGTAGAGTGTAATTAAAATCTTGAAAAATTATTTTATTTGACATATATTATGCACGTCTAATCAACGGAGTTTCAACAAGATTCCTAAACCTTAAGTGTAAAAACAGATGTAAATTGTGAAGAATTTAAAAACATCCAGAAATAACGATTGACAAAACTAATGATTATTTTGCAAAATGCAGTCGATTTCCATAAGTTAACACCTATTCTTTAACTTCTACAATTCCAGTTACAAATTTGTAAATATTAGTTAACAAAAACAATTAGTGTGAACATTAATTTAGTCTATGAAAGATTCATTGTGACTAAACGATAAATTGTCAATAGCTTAATTAGAACATATATATTATACATGAGTTTTCTAACGGGATTAGGGTCAGTGTGTCCAAACAGTGGAAAATTTATTCTATCAATTTTACATGAACGTACGCTTATATTGTTTCGAATTAGACATCAATTTGTTCTCAAACGTATGATGATGATTCGTAGATTTGCGTAAAATGATAATAAAATTATCTAATTACATCAATTATAAATATGATTATTAAATGTAGGTATATGTTATTGTTATAAAGATGTAAGATTTTGATCCAATCATCAAGTAACAACTGTTTAGAAATTAATTTTTCGAAACAATTTAAAGATCATAACAACGGAATCCACATTTTGTTGATTGGACCCGATTCTTACCTTAAAATATTGGTATGAGGAATTTGATCTTTTCGTAAGGTAACTTACAAACATTCATATGGTTTAGTAAAGGTCATACACATTAGTGGCTGTTTGGTCTTATTAGCTTAATGAATAATGGATTGTGCACTTCAAGGAAAATGTACTAAGCTCAAATCCCATCGTGAACATAATATTTTGTTTTCAGATTTATCCATTAATGAGTCCTAGACAAGGTGAAACTGGAGTACCTGATTCCATTCCATCCATATACTGACTATTTTATTCATATAGTTGTTGATTATATAGTCCCTAGTTTACTTAATAAAGCAAAACAAAGTTTTCGCATAATTTAAACAAATTTAACTTTAGTATTGATTGAGGTAACTAGTATATACTTTTATTTTAAAAGAACTTCTTAATCCATATGTTTTATATCAAACTTTTCCGTGCTGTATACATCTGTACGATGTCAATTAAGTGAAATTTTTAGACTATTTTTCTTTTTAAGGAGAATCACTTCCAAATAAAGATGTCTGTGTTCGTTTGGCTGAAATAAACCACATTTTAAGTATCTAAAATAGTTCTTCTAGTAACTGCAACGTGGAAAACAGATTATAACCCAATTCTCACTCCTTTAAATTTGTGTCAGTTTTAACTTCGATGGACCTCGAATAGTACTGTCTGATATGTAAAAATTAAAATAAATCAATGCTTGAATTCGTTTAGACAAAGTGTTACTAATCAGATAGTTTGAATACATCTCTTTAATTTCATTCTCTATGTTTGGTCAATAAATAAATTAGGACTAAACACTTCAGCTGAATTTCGCCTTAGACATCCATAAACGTTTACTAGATTTTTTCTAAATCGAGATACTATTGATACACTCATTAGAGCAGTTCGCTAAACCTAATTCAAGATTTTATAGTAATTTCTTAGGGGGATAATATTTGTTCATTCTGTAAGACCGATCCACTACTTTAAAGGAAATAAATTACTCTGTTCCATCTCATAAGCATTTCTTTTAATAACAATAACACTTACTGGAGACATTTTTATTATCTTTTGAGGTTATGCAACAACTGAGTACAAATTGACTTTCTGACCGTAATATGAATTACTATCAAAATCTCAATGTTTTTTATACTAGTCCCATCAATAATTAAATGATTTCGGAATAGAATTGCCAGGTTACTAGCAGTTCCAATTAAAAAATCTACTATTGATTGAAGAATAATTGTAAAGAAAAGTTAAAGTGTTACAAAATCACATATCTCAAAATTACTAATCCCCTATATTCTTTTAATGTCAACTAGAACTATCAATATGTTAGACTTAGATGAGTGTTAGAATTGAGTCCTCGTATGTATGGTGTTTGTAATAACCCACAAAATTAAACAATGAATAATTTTTTCAATAAAATTATGTACAGTTTCATTGATAATAACCAAGAAATAAAGATTTTTCACTTAAATATTATTTATTTTTCATAAATGAAACCATTTTTATTCACTCGTGATGAGGATGAGGTTGATGAGAGTGATGCAACGTTTAGAAATAATCAAATATAAGGATTGCACGCAATCTTAACCTGAACAACTGACAAATTTATCGAAAATTAACACTTAATCAATTCTGTAATTATAGATGTATTACAATAAACATACATCTGTTCACTTAATTTCATAGTATTGTTCATTGATATATTTAATAGATCTCTGATATTACTTACCAGCACATAGTAACATAACTGGAATTTCCAGTTGTGTATGAATATGTCACAGTCTCAAGTAAGCAATATTCATGAGACATAATACGTCATATAAATTCAACAGAGGTGATTAATTGTATTCAGATACATAAAAAATTAACAATATCAGTAGACATTGATGATGTAAAAACTACTAAACTTACCTGGTAAATATAAAAAAGAATTTATTATCATTACTAATAATTAACAGCAACAACGATGGGAAATGGAATTATTTATTTGTAAAATTACCATGAGTGGTGTAGTATCAAATAATTTAATTATGATGATAATTTTTCCTGTGAAAAGTTTATTTCTAAAGTTTTCCATCAAATTAATCAGTTAATTAGTTAATCTTGATTTGTCTTCTGAATAATAGTGTTGATTAAACATTTGACATGGGAATGAACGAAGTTTACTAATGTCCATGATGTTACTAATTCAGATAAAACATTAATCATTTTAGCTGTCTGGTACAATTCCCAACAATAAATAATTGTTTTATGTCTTTCGTCTTGATCATGAATCGATGAATGTTGGACTACTGTTGAAAACCTGTAAGCATTGGACGGCCATTTCGTTCTATTATAGGACCACACAGCAATGCGCACCCAACTCCATAGTGATAATTACAACGTACTCAGTAGTGACTAGCTTCGTAAGGGAATCCACGGAGTTCTAGTGAGAAGCTGTAACCAGTGGACCTAATGTATTTCGGGTAGAAACATATGTTTACCTTAAACAATGAGTGAATGGTTGCGCAGGATTATGGAACGATTGAAGTTCTATATTAACACTGTTGAATGCCGGCTCAGTAGTGTAGAGGTTAAGCGTTTGCGCGCGAGACCGCAGGTCATGGGTTTGAGTCTCGCGAGCAGGATCACGGATCCGCGATGCCGAGAAGTCCCATACTAGGGAGAAACGGCCATCCAGTGCTTCCAAGTTTTCCATGCTGATCTAGCTTCAATCGATTCATAATTTCAATCAAATGAGTAAATCAATCTTTCCTGATTGGATTTTTGTTAAGTATAATCAAACTGAGTTTTTATGAGTCATTTTTTAAGTGTGTAACTTATTTATGTAATCCTTAATGCGTAGAGATTATGCGTAACAATATTTCTAAACTGTGTAGTCGAATTTGTTCTATCAGACTTTTATAAGTGAATATAGTTAAAATTTAGAAGTATTCAATGCTTTTAAGTACAAAACAATATCTATAGGTCTACTAATTAATTAAGTAAACGAATGATAATATTAAAATTGTTAATAAACACGAAAATTAAAATAATCCCGATGTATGATCACGTTGCCTAAATTTTGTGCTATCGTAGAATGAAAAAACACAGCTTTTCAGAGATATTTTATCCTACGTCTTAAAGATTCTTCAGCTGTTTATAGGTTTTGGAATGAAACTACCTTAAACTACATCTAATCGTCCAAGTGTGAGATATAGAACGCCTGTTTTGTTCTGTCGGACTCATCAACTGGATACATGTGGACGTCAGTGTTGATTTTCGCACATGGACGCCAACCCAGTGTCTACTGCTTCAAAAGCCAAACAAACTATCCACTGAGCCACTGAGTCCGGATAACTACTCATTTTTCCAGTGAGTATGACATTTATATCATTATTAGAAGGAGTGTGGGTATGCGGAAACAATCCATACACGACTAAATTATGCTGACAAAAGCTGACCAAAATTCAATCAGTAACATTAACAAATGGAATAACTCAAACCCTTTTCAACAATGACATATATTACATTTTGTTCCGATCAACCATCTATACCTGGTTATTTGTAGATATCGATTTAAAATAACTAACCACAATTATTTAAAGATAATCCATCGTTAGTACTGACTTTCTGTGTTATTACGCTTTGAAAATGATTGATAAATAACTATAATAATATGCTTTTAGGGTAATATATATTTCACTAAAAAAAATAGTTGCCAAGTTCTTAAGCTTATTAGACAGATATTTTTGTTCAACAATGTTTAAATCAATTATCCGAATTACTAAGTAATATAAATTTCGGATTCAGTGGTAACACTAAAAATCAAAAGTAGTTAACGGATTAAGATTACATAAATAGTAACTATGATTTAACTGGGTTTTTTCAACAAAATGAAACTCAGGATGTTAGTCAACATTTTTCATTGAATAATAAATGAGATAATACATTATAATTTATAAATGAAATGTCATATACAAGAACTTGCTTGAATATGTAACTTCCTCTGATGAATTCAGTTAAACAGAAATTAATATCATGCCTCTATAATACTTATAAATAGAAATCAAAATTAAGACTAAAATCGATTCTTCTCCAAAATACTAGTATAAAATATAGTTATGAAAAGAGCCCATTAATAGTTTTTAACAAAATTACTTGCAAACCGTGTAGCTCTGGTATTTGTAAAGTTTAAATTAAACGAAATAACTAATAGAATTTTGAGGCAAATTTATTAATTTGCTGATATTCCTCAGTAGTGTCCCAACTTTTGTCAGTGTCTTCGATTTACTTTGACCATTAAATTTATTGAATAAATCCATAACTGTTTGCTTCAGTTCACTGATAAATTTAACTGATTCTGCCAATGTCAGATTTGTCTTCATTTCTAATAATTTAATTGTAGTTGACTGATGAAGAACGTGTTTATTTGAATGCAGCCGCAACAGGTGATATTGGCATCATTCGTATGTCATTAGAAGATACTGATGAATCAACGGACTTCAATGTAAATTGTGTTGATTATATGGGACGTAATGCATTACACCTTGCTGTCGATTCAGAAAATACTGAAGTAATGGAATTGTTATTGGACAAATTAAATTTTGAATGTATCGAAGAAGCTTTACTACATGCTATCAGTAAAGGGCATCCTAAACTAGTACGTGTTATTATTGAACATCCAAATTATCAAGCTGGTGAAGATCAAATTAAACGAATGGATTCAAGAAATGCATTTTTTCGTACTACAGAAAAAAGTCAATTTTCACCTGATATAACACCATTAATTCTATCAGCTCATTATAATAATCATGAGATGGTACAAATGTTTTTATCACGTAATCATACAATTGACAAACCACATTCAATATCATGTCAATGTAATGATTGTCAAGTTAGACAAGATTATGATTCATTGAAACGTTCACGTTCTAGGCTAAATGCTTACCGTGCCTTAGCAAGTCCAGCTTATATGGCATTAAGCAGTCCTGATCCAATAATGACAACATTTCAACTACGTCAAGAAATGATGAAATTGGCAGAAATTGAAAAAGAATTTAAGGTAAGTACGCTGACAATCAGTTGTGTGAAAAATTTCAAATATTCTTTAACTAACTATTAAATATGTATAATGTGTTTTGAAGTGAGTCTATTTCGTGGACTAATATAACTTTGTGGAACTTTGAAAATAAATAAGTATTTGATATCTGTTTTATCTTCATTTTCAATTCTTCGACAGTACTAATTCATAAACACATATGTTATATAATCTAGTCGATCATTAAACGTCTGACAAAATAAGTTCAGGCCCACTGACCAACACATTCAATCCATTGAACAAGTGAAGTCAAGATACAAAGCTAGTAAGTATTCACTATCTGATCGTTTGAGTCTAAACAGCTATTCAATGATTTCTGGTCTTTGATATTTTACAGCTGATATCTGTCTATGATGTAACAAAATTTATGTTGAATAATCTCAACAAAACCTCATCTTTTCACTAATTAAGGTCTTTTATCAGAATGTATACCAGTAATTTAATTAAATATCTTGAGATTTTGATAAAGGAATCGGAGTTATAAACAAAAGGGTACACCAAAACGTATCTGTGAAAATGATCTGTTAGAATGGAAATCTAAGATGTGTTTTCACAGTAACTGAGAGTCTAATTTGTTTAATGAAGTCCAACATCAGTTTCGTCAGTCATTCCTCATAAATTAAAATAATATCAAGTTTTAATTCTGAGTGTTCGAAGACACTTACCACGATTCCCTGGTTTCAAGTTAATGGTTGCCCATCACCAAAATTTCACTGCAATGTTAAGTGGAGTGATACTTCTCATGAGATTTAAATTCACAACACTGAGTATTATAGTCAAATTCATTGGCAAAGCATTATTCATCTTTTAATTGATTGAACCAGCCTTTTGCTAACTTCCTTGACGTACTGGCACAAGGCTGTTATTTTCTGAGATAATAAAATAGAGAGTGAGACAATAACTAACCCAAAATATAAAATAGAAATATCACGAATTCACTAAAGTTGCAAATGTAAATTATGGATTTCTGACAACATTTCGTATACATCAGAAGAAAAAAGAAAATTGTAAGTTCAGCTCAGTTCGGCCACACGGGTGAACAGTGTTGAAAATTTATCTATTGAAAGGCATTTACAGTGCGTTATAACTTTCTATTGGTTCAACCATTTATATAATCTTCAAGGTGATAATTCCTGCTTACTGCAACTTCTGAAGTAGTTTATCGCGAATACTCCTCCTAAACATTTTGAACTGATTATTGCAGTATCTGTCATAATATGTGATCGATAGCTTTGTTACTCAAATAAAGACAGTGTATCTCTTGCTTTATGTATAAATTTTCAGGTAATAGGCCGCACAAAAGATTGAAAGATATTTACAGTATGGAATTATTCTATCAATTGTTAAATGACTTATTAGACTAATCATTGCAGTCATTTTATTAATCTTCCGTAGAATTTTTTATTAGAATAGAAAATAAAAATTTAAATTCTATAAAATTACGTCATGCACTGAGCCTTGTCAACCCATCCACTGAAAAACCAGTAAGCACTGAATATGCTTTATTCTAGTTAAGGACTCTTCAGTAGCACTGATTTACGACCCCTCCAGAAATTAAGACGCAAGAACCTCAGTTCTCGAAACCATTGGACTTAAACAAGCAAATAAACGCATAATAGTTCAATAGTCTAAGTTCTGAGAGCTTACAGCAAAACATGAAAGTCCTGGTTTCGATCATCGTTGGGATCGTGGATATTTACTGTAGAAAAGTCTCATACTAAGACGAAATAACTGTCTAATCCTTTCTAGTTTTTTAATACGTGTTTAACTGAGACCAGCTTGTGATGTATTCGTCAAATTTCAACACTCTCCACAACGCATTCAACATTAATTAATAAATTTTAGTGCCATAAATGAAATTATGTCAGAGAAAAATTTATGTTTTTTTTATAGTAATAATAATACAGAAAAAAACCGTTATATAGTTCTTTTATTCATTGTCAGTGTATTCCCATTGAGCCAGATGTTGATTTAAGACAATAATCTATAAAAACAACATCTACCATGGTTAATTAACGTTGCTATTAATCGTTAGATTTGCTTTGTGTACATTCCTATAACCATCTGTCATTTGTTAGTAACATGAGAGAAACAAAATTATAACACTAAACTATTTTTTCCGTTCAGAAAATTTTAGAGCAATAATATTAATAATTTTGCTCAAATCTTTTATACGTCTATAAATATGTGGTGTAGTGTCATTCTGTTTATAGTTTTTTTAACTAATTGCTACTAAAATCACATGATGCTTTATGCTCTTCGAGGAAGAATGTTCAATGTTCAGTACCGATAATAGCTTCGTTGCTTTTATTTCAATGATAACGATTTTCAACAACAACAAAAACACGATAATAAATAGGATAGATTGATTTGGAAGACGATTTTATTTTCCTTTTGCCAATGTTATAGTTAGTAATCGAACATCTTCAATTTGTACGTATGTATCGTGAGAGGATTGTCTCAATATTTTCATTTAATCGTGTTTTTTAAGTTAACGTGAACTGTGTAAAATTAAGAATCTTTTATATGTACCAGTGACACGTATCTAAATTTTGCATGACTCCGGCAAAACTACTGTATCTTAATCTATATAATTTATGCAATTTTTCTTTGTGAGGTTTACCTGAGCTGATCAATTGGTTGTGTGATATTTCTATCAGTGTAAATACTACGTATTGTTTCGAAGCATTTTTTTATTGAAAATACAGTGACATATCTTCGAAATATTTATTATTTTGAAGAATTTGGACAAACAATAAATATCCTATACTAACTCATCTGTATCTCATTAAAATGATTTCTACAACATTCATCAGGAAATACGATTTCATAAAAGAATCAACTTAATAGGTTCGATTGTATTGGCGCAAAAGATATTTGAGTGATGTGAAACCAGACAAATAAACATTGGTGCAGTTTGGATACCCAACAAAATACAAAAATGGGTGGATGCTTCAAACATTACTGAGAATCGCTAACTTTTTGTTACTTCAGTGGAAAGTTTTTATCACCTCAACTTTGTGTTGAAAGAAAAGTCTAACTCAACAGTCTGTAAACTTTACTGCAAAGCTAAGATATTTATAAATTGTAATAGGACATACAAGTTTCATAGAAATCTCCAATAGCAGCTGAATTGTAAAGTCATACCAAATTGTGTTTGTTGATTTACACGCATGTATACGTGCAATGATAAAACATACGCATGAGTAGTCGTAATATTTAATTAGGTGTAGCATAATAATGGAAATAAGTGGCAGCTTAGCAAAAGGATTTCACTAACCCAATAAATAAAGACGATAAATATTTGTTGCCATCCATTTCTAAACGATTATTAAAAATAGATCACAGATTTATCTTAAAAATTCATTTGTACAAATGTACAGGTGTGGACAGAGGTGAATGCATAAATTTATTCAAGCCCTAGAGATATGATTTTCAAAACCTCCCTTGTCTATTCCAAAATCAATTCATACTTCCAATAAATCTAATCTGGTACTACTGATTTTCCTTTTTAAAATTAATATTGATGTGAGTAATGTTTACTTTGTAATTATCCTTGTTGATTTTATATTCCCAGTTGACCTTAATAGATGATCAGATTATTTAAAGTTTACCGTTGTGTCGATGAATAAAAATACAGAGAATTCAGCGAAGGAAATGTTTTCGACGAAGTTGTGGATTATGCATGAACTCTGTGCACAAAAAACGATAAATCCAACCCCTCATTCTTCCTTGGCCTTAATTCGCTTCTCCGATATTTTTGGTTTTTGCTTTTATTTTCATTACTATTTTGTTCTCTAACAGTTTTTCATGACTATTACCCAACTGTTATTGAATAGATTTTCCTAATTTTTTCATCATATCTACGAAGTGGACAATTATCTCTGGTCTTTCTGACATGTAAATTATTTTGATCCTCTTACTGTTTGCTAATCTATTGATTATTAAACAACCTTCTTTTGACATTTGAAATCTCGAATCACTTTACGATGTAATCTCTTCTATCCGTCTATAGATGCATGTATTTGTCAAATAAATGTAAATACGAACGCACAGTATAAGCAAATGATTCCATCGCGAAGAAAATTTTCTTCGCTGAATTCTCTCTACATGATCTAGGTATTGTGTGCTAATATTTAAGATCGTGATAAATCTTGTCTTTTATTTTCGTCCAATTCAAACATGAATAAAACTATCAGATAAATAATAAATTTGTTCAAATTAATTTTCAATTCACCCACTCACAAATTACATCAATGTGGAAATCATAATTGTTATATTTGTATTCAGTATAAAATTTTGCATTGTTTACTTAAAAGTTGTGTACAAATTGACATATATCAGCCACCTTTTATCGAACAGTTACTGTTAGATATTACTAGGGGTTTGAAAGAGAATAATCATTATTAAGGTAGAAAATCTTTCTTTGAGCTGAGTGATTTAATTGTGAATTTTTCTTAGTTCTTCTAGATGAAGACATTTTCGAAAAATGTGTGGTAGAAGTGAGCCATTCTAATTTCTCTATATATAACCACCAGCTTGTTCTGTCAAACCTCAGCTTGACTGAATATCGTTATCCTTTGATGGCATATTTTTTTATCGGCCCCCAGTTGATCATGTCCTTGGATTAGTTCAAAAGTTTCATATTTGGCTGATAAATTAGGTCGATTTCAATAAATAACAAACGAGCCTACTTCTGTTCAGAGTTTTTGTAGATGATGTTGTTCGAAAACATGAGAACAAAATTATCAACGTCATCTGCCTTATCAACAAGTCGTGTCCAGCGCCTTTTACAATTAACCAAGTCTACATTTCTGTACTCTAACACCCTAACGGACTGACTGAAAAATCACAAATAATAATCTTTGAAAGAATAAATTACTACATTTTGAAATGAAACTTTTGGATGAAATTTTATGAATCAGTATATCAAATACGATACTTCAGATTAAGTCATTATTAGC